ACAGTAACTTGGACTGATAAGAGTTCAGCAGTAACCTGAGCTGATAACTCATGTAGCTTTTTGCAAGACTGGAAAATAATAACTTACTCTATTCAGGAAAGGCAGTGTGGTTTCCTCTTACTCTGTGTGTTCAGCACAATTGTATTTCTGAAGACAGTCACTCTCTAGGACAATGTCTCACTGGGAGTTCTGCTCCTGGGACTTAATCTGCACTTAAGGTTTTTCTGGTGTAGTAACAAACCTGTGAAAATAAGTCATAAACTCGACATAAACCCCACCTTTATTTAGGTAATGCCAGGTTTTCCTGTAGAAGAGTCACGTTACAGGTCGAGCTCATTTGTGAATGGAAACAGCTTGGAGTGCTAATGATGGAGAAACCCTTTGGATTTGTGGAAAGAGTTTTTCTGCTTTGGATGTTTGTAGTGTAGTCAAACCAGTTTAGTTATCTGCTCTTTTTAAGTGCAAAATTCCCTTTGTATTTGCTGCAGAAGGAACGTGGGTAGGAGGAAGTTTAGATCAGAGTGTTTGCTGGGAATTGCCAGATACGCCCTTGGAGTCTTAATGTCATTCAGCTCTACCTAACTGAGGGTTCCACCCAGGGGGTGAACTTTCTAGTGGTTTAGAGCACCAGTAGTAGCTGTGTCTGTAGCTTCTGCCTTGGAGTTGTGTCTGAAATAAAGGATCTGTGGTTAGAACACGCACTTTTTACAACTTCTAGATGCCAAAATGTTCTTTGGGATTTCAATAGGTGGCATAATTTGGAGGAACAGAGGACAGGTTGCACATCCACCCCCAATGATCGGGTATCTGCAGGCTGCCTTCTGCTTTTTCCAGTGTTTACTGGTCATTCCACAATGACCAAAAGTTTTATCAGCCTTCTAAAAACCTGATATTTGCATGTCTTTCACAACCAGTGGCAGATACTGATGGAAGAACATAAGAACAGGGAATTTATTATATGACTCTCCCTCTATATCCTCATAGATTTGGGGAATATGGAATAGAATTTTCCAGAGTTAGAGGTAACATGCAGAACATTGTGTTTAGTTTGTGCTCTTGGTCTATTCTCCCTGAGTTTGTAGAATCCTTTCTGAAACTATATTGTTATCCTTAACAACAGCTTAGCTTAATAAAGGTAATTTTAAGCTTTAAGAACAGTGAAGGTCAGTTTTATAGAACTATGTATGTGAGTATGAAAAGCATTTCCTGTGGTCATGTTAATTATTCTGGGCTCTCTGTTAGGGGCAAGATTCCAGGTTTACAACCTGATCTGCTCTGACAGCTGTCACTGAAAGGGCAGTCTTGCCTGCCTCCCTGTTTCTCCCAGCTTCTGAGGTGGCTTTGGTGCCTGTCTCACTCCTTGGGCAGCCAAATGAAGTCACCAAACTGACAAAAAACTGGGAAGTGATGGGAGCAGGCAGCCAAAGGGAGGGGTGGGTGGGAAGAAAGCTTCACCTTTTAACTGCAACTAACACCCAGTTCAGCTCAGCTGTGCCCTAGAGTGTATCCCACTGTTGGTTCCTGGTAAATCTGGGCTCCACACTGTTTTGTGATGGAAGTCTGAAAAGACAGGAGACATTAAATGCAAGCTCATTTTTGCTGTTGAATTGGTTTCCTTTTTTACTTGCAGGTGTCCAAACTAGAAAAAAAGGAAGGAATTTCTCCAGTTGAAGACGTGGACTGATTTCCTGTCTTGTTTAACTGTGGTAATTAATTTGCCAAAGCAGAATGTTCCAAACTGGATTATACTGTGATAATGAGCAGCGATGACCCAAACAATTGTTGAGTCCTCTTTTTTTTTTTTTTTTTAATTGACTCCCTGGTTTATTCCCAATATACTTAAACTATAAATTGGCTAAGGAATCATTTACTAAGGATTTCCTTCAAATACTTCGTTTAAAATATTTGGATAAGCCCATCATAAATAAATATAAATAAATACAGGGTAGTCTTTTGTAAAAGTAAATGCACATACACACATGAAGTTTGGTTCTCATAACTTGGATATGATTTTTGAGTAACATTTAGCTGAAAGTAAAATTTTAACAGTTCTGGCATGTGCCGTTGAGGGCAAAAACTCATCTTACTTTGCAATAAACTTGTAATTTTGTCATGCTAATTGACTCAGTTCTTATTTTTCATGGTTTTTATTTATCTAACATTTGCTTTGAAGACTGGTCCAGTGTTTTGAAGGATCACATAAAGTCTAATTCAGCAAGGTATTGGAAGCATGTCTACCTTGAAGCAGATGGGTAATCTCCTTGTTAGTGGGATCAAAATTAAGAGTTCAGCTTCTTGTTTTGTTTCAATATTGCAGAATTAAGTATAAAACCAGCTTCCTTTGAGCTCAATTAGAGTGTTACTCACCTTCCACCTCCTGTTTACAAAAGCTTAAATTTAAACTTCACTGATCTTTTAAATGTGTCCAGTGCCTGAGTCCCTTTTCTGCCTTTTCATTTAATGTTTAGCTGTTTCTGTTTCTTTTTTAAAACTTGTTTTGAAAGGTGCAATTTTAAGAGGGGAAACTAGAAACACGTTTCTGAAGTTCTGGGTGAACAACACTCAAACAGCAGAAGAGCTTAGACCAAGTGAGACTTCTGTTAAAATAGTCCTGCATTGTGCTGGTGAGAAATGTCTGCTGAAGAGCACCTTCTCCACATTTGTTTTTCATGATCCAGACAGAGTTGATTCACTTGGAGTTAAAGATGCTGCATTGTTTGTTGTGGGTTTATTGTATTGTATTAATTTAAATACATAACTAACTTACCTTAGTGGATGCTGCTGATGTGAAGAATGTTTGTTTGTCTGTTGGAAAACCCCAGGTGAGATGTGCCTTCTCTCACAGTTAGTTGGGCACTTCCACTTCCCATTGCAGACAGAGGGAGTAGATGAATTTTGAACAGAAGCTCAAGAATTCATTGTATATTTGAAGGTTTCATATTTCTTTTTTCCCTCCTGAAGCTGCTGGTTTGTCTTTCCTGAAATCACTGAAGAGGAAAGGAGGAAACACTTGCTTTCATTCAAATAAAAAATAATAGCAAGGATAATACAATGTTTTACATGCACTCCTGGTTAGTGTGGTTACCCTGAATATTTCAGACACTTGGTGAAAGAACACTTGTGTGTTTTAGCAATGGCATTTACACATGTACCAATTGCATTTTATTTCTTCCCTGCTCGTGCTGAATACAGATTGTACCAGGCCACCCCATTTTCCTTTTACTATGCAGAAATTTTCACTGTGTCTGTTCCACCTGATGCCTCTAGTTCAACTGTTACCAGAATAGCTCCAATTTTATCAGTGCTTCATTGCCTCCTCAGAATGGGAAATAACCCCATGTAGATGGGGTCACTTTTTACAAGTGACATCTTGTATTGGGTTTCGTGACCATGTTTTGGGAGTTGGGGGTGGGAGGCTCCAGTGGTGGCTTCTTTGAGAAGCTGCCAGAAGCTTCCACTGTGTCCAATGGAGTCAATGCCAGGTGGCTCCAGGACAGACCCGCTGCTGGCCAAGGCAAGCAATGGTGGTAATGCCTCTGATAACATATTTAGGAAGGAAACAAACACTGCACAGATGTAACTGTGGCCTGAGACAAGAGGAGTGGGAATATGCAATAGGAACAGGTCTGCAGGCACCACGGTCAGTGCAGAAGGAGGGGCAGGAGGTGCTCCAGGCACCAGAGCTGAGGTTCCCCTGCAGCCCGTGGTGAGGCAGCCGTGCCCTGCAGCACATGGGGGTCCATGGGGGAGCAGAGATCCTCCTGCAGCCCCTGGAGGAGCCCCACACCGGAGCAGGTGGAGACTGTGACCTCGTGGGTCACAGTTGGAGCAGGATCCTGGCAGGACCTATGGACCCATGGAGCAAGCAGGTTTCCTGGTAGGACTTGTGCCCTTGCGGGGGACCCACGCTGAGGCAGCCAGTTCTCTGCTCCCTGTGCTGGAGCAGTTCCTGAAGAATGGCAGCCCATGGGAAGGACTCGTGTTGGAGAAGCTCACAGGACTGATTCCCATGGGAGGAACCCCATGCTGGAGCAGGTGAAGGACTCTCCTCTCCCCGAGCAGCGGCACAACCAACCTGTGGTGGACTGACCATAACCCACATCCCCCCTCTCCCTGTGCCACTGGCAGGCAGGAGGTTGAGAGAATCAGGAACTACACCTGGGAAGAAAGGAGGAGTGGTGGGGGTGGGAAATGGCCCCCTGGGTATGACAGGAAGCTGAACATGAGCCAGCAGTGTGCCCAGGTGGCCAAGAAGGCCAATGGATCCTGGCCTGGATCAGGAACAGTGTGGCAGCAGGACCAGGGAAGTGATTCTTCCCCTGTACTCAGCACTGGTGAGGCCACCCCTGGAGTGCTGTGTCCAGTTCTGGGCCCCTCAGTTCAGGAAGGACATGGAGAGGCTGGAGCAGGTGCAGAGAAGAGCAACAAGCCTGGTGAAGGGACTGGAGCACAAGTGCTGTGAGGAGAGGCTGAAGGTGGTGGGGTTCTTCAGCCTGGAGAAGAGGATGCTCAAGGGAGACTTCATTACTCTTTACAACCACCTGAAAGGAGGGTGTAGCCAGGTGGGGGTTGGTCTCTTCTCCCAGGAACCAGCAGTAGGACAAGAGGGCACGGTCCTAAGCTGTGCCAGGGGAGGTTTAGGTTGGATATTAGGAAGAAATTCTTTACAGAGAGGGTAATCGGGCATTGGAATGGGCTGCCCAGGGAAGTGGTGGATTCTCCGTCCCTAGAGATTTTTAAGATGACACTGGATGTGGCACTTAGTGCCGTGGTCTAGTAACCTTGATCCTGCCGTGGATCAAGGGTTGGACTCGATGATCTCGGAGGTCCTTTCTAACCCGTCCATGACTCCATGAATGGTCGGCGGCAGCGGGAGGAGTCGGGAAGATGCCGGTCCCCGCCCTCCCCCGCAGCCGGTCACATGCAGCGGGCGGAGCCGCCCGGGGCGGGCTGAGCCCCGCTCCGTCCCTCCTCCGCTTCCCTGCTCTCCCGTCCCATCCCGTCCCGTCCTGTCCCTTCCCGTGCCGTGCCGGCGGCGCGGTGGGAGCGCGGCCGGGGGAGCCGCCGGGGGTGCCGATGGATCCCGGCGCTGAGGCGGAGCCGCTGCTGCCCCCGCGGCGCTGGCGGGCGGCCCGCGGGCTGTGGCGCTCGGCCGAGCTCGGTGAGTGAGCGCCGGGGGCGCTGGGGCGGGCGGTGAGTGTGTGCCCGCGGGGCTGGAGCGCTCCCGGGAGCGGGGCGGGCGCCGCACTAGGGCACGGCACTGGGACACGGCACTGGGACACGGCACTGGGGCACGGCACTGGGACACGGCACTAGGGCACGGCACTAGGATACGGCACTAGGGCACGGCACTAGGGCACGGCACTAGGGCACGGCACTAGGGCACGGCACTAGGGCACGGCATTGGAGCCCCGGGCTCCGCCGCCCTGCCCCGGCTGCTCCGGGCGCTGAGCGAGCCGCTGTCGCGGAGCTCAGCCCCGCTGCAGCCCCGGGCTTCGGGGATTCCTTATGTAATTTTATTCTTTTTTTTCTCGCTGAAGCCCTGGCAAGTTTTCTTCTCGAAGCCGATGACTGTCGGCGGTCTGGCGCTTCAATTCCCCCCCTCCCCACCCCTTCCCTCCCCGGGATGGGATCATTCGGAGACCGCAGGTTCCTTGTTTTTAGGGTATCGCATCACCTAAGCGAACCTTCGCTTCTTTTTTTTTGTTGCGTGTTCGTGCGGTGCCAGAAGCGCAGCGGGGTCTCGGACGGGTCCTGTGTGCCCGAACCGAGCAAGGGCTTTAATCATCATTTGTGACTAAGTGTCACTTGCCGTGACTAAGAATTGCAGAGTAAGTTGGATATCCATGGCAGAATGCATGGAGGAATTGCTAAACTAAACATTTTTTTTCTAATTTCTCTGTTTTATTTTTATACTGTGAACAGTTGTTTAGATTCCACCCCTCCAAAACCTCTGCCATCAACACTAGGCTCGCTGCGTGCTCCAAGAACCTAAAGCTTTTGCTGCCCTTGCCTCCTTCTAACTAATACTGTTCCTTTAAACAACTTTATCTCCAGTGTGAGATGGCATGAAAAAGATAAAGTCTGTACTGCTTGAGCCTGGCTTGTCTCCTGTTTGTGCTCAGTCTTTCTTGCGCTGTGGTTCGTATCAGCATCAGTACAAAACTGTGCTGTTGCTGATGCTCAGATAAAGGGTGACATTTAAAAATTGCTTGCATTCTTTGTAGAAAATTGATGCCCTTGAATCACGGGGAACATAAAATTGTCTGGGACTCAGATCAGTGGCATTGCGTGGTGTCTGGAGAGCACAGTGGTAGTAGTGGGACGGGCTCTTTCCTGTTGTGATTGCTGTCTCCTCGGAGGAGATGGTATGAAGTGCTCCTTGGGACTCTTTCCCTCTGTGGGAAGATTACGCTAGCACATATTTTTCATAAATTTAACCCCTCTCAGCTTTTTATTTTTATTTTTTTTTTCCTTCCTCATTTTGACTGTAATTGCCTTTGTTTCTCCCATTGGCTTAATTGCCAGGTTAGTTCCTCAAAGGTCCCTGGTTCAAGTGAACACAAGTGGCTGCCTTTTATTTTTTTGTATAAATATCTTCATGTAGACTTCTTAGTAACAGGTTTTGAAAAGTATAAGTAAGTGGCATAAGTAACTAATTTAGTGATGTTTTATTTCATTTTGTGTACTTTCACCCCTTGCTCTGTCTTGAACTCTGATCTCTTTGGTATGGTAATAAACAAATTAAAAATGCATTTAATTTAGTTCTCGTCTGACTGGAGATTCCTGATGGTTTTGGAGAGAACAAAACCAATCTAAACTACAGTACCTTTATTCAACAAAAGTAAAATGACTAGGATACTGGTGCCTGATTTTTCCAGCTTCACTTGACTGTACACTTTGTCAAACAATAATTTGATTGAATGCCCACTATGTTGCGTGTTAGGACTTGTCTCTGTTTAGTGTTATGATGGCAATTTAACTACTAATGTAATCTACCTACTTTAAGCCATTGTTGTGGAGCTTCTAGTAACTGATAAGGAAGCTGTAGGCTTTATCCAAAACACAGCAGGTGATTATTATTTCTTTATACCTTCACAGGTGCTGGAGCTGATAATGACCTTTACATAAACCAAGCTGTAGTATTTATTGAAGATGCAATACAGGTAAATGTAACTTCTTTGAGAGCTATTATGCTTCCCGTGCTGGATGTTTGTCACACATTCTGCCACTTTTAAAGTTTTTCTGTGTTCAGGAAGCCTTTATGTCACGTCATCTCGATTCATAAATCAAAATCAGAATTCTGAATTCCTGTGGTACGCAAGTATCTGTGAACTGCCCAGGAGAAACATTTTTCCACGCAATGAAATAATCTTCTCTTTAAGGTTTTCAAAAGAGATGCTGGTTTGTGGAGTGGCTTTCATGGTGGTTTTCTTGTTTGTTTGTTTGAGTTGGTTTGTTTGTGGGTTTTTTTGAGAGTGGCTAACCTACTTCTAAGAGAAATTGAGCAAACCCTCTGTAATGTGCCTCTCAATCTGACTACTTGCACACTTTAAGAGCTGGTAAAAGCTGAAGAGTTTAAGGCTGACTTCAAGTGAGAAAAGCCTCTTTTGTTTCAGCTGAACTTGATACCGTTGGAAGTCTTCATTCCCTCTTTGTCCCTCCTTTACTGGACTTTACTGCAGGCTCTTGGGTCTGTTATCTCCCAGTGAGTGGTTGCAGGCAGTGGGAATGCTGGAGGGCAGTTATTGAGCTCTCTTGCTGCATTCAGATAGCTTTTGGTTGGGAGGTTTCTGGGGATCAGATGTGTTTAAGCTGTGCCCACCTTTCTAGAATTAGATATTTTTCAGGGTAACAGCAGCCCAGGAGCCATTGCAGAGAAGGGACTGAGCAGATTTTGGCAAAAGCCAAAATTCTTTCTGAAGGATCATGGGGACTTCCTTGACCTTAAAGCATGTTTTATTCAAAGACACAGGTTGAGGTCTTTTATATTCAGGATTAATTTGTTTGCATCTTATGGCTTGTTGGAAAAGAAAGACAAAAAGAAGGTCCATGAGTGGAATGAATGCTAGAAAGGTGAATTAAGTGGGTGGATCATTTTGGCAAGTACATAGAGTAATCACTGATTTGTTACAGGTGCTGTTATTTGTAGTGATGGCAGTGCTTTCTTCAGGTGGCTGCCACACGGTTTGATTACCTGAGCAGCTCTGTGGTCTTTAGATAGGAGAATTTCTTTAAAATCCTTCCCTTTTCACACACATAGGCTACATCTATGGTCATGGGTGACTGATACTTTAATAATGAATAACATGTACTTAATTTGTTTTACTTTGGTAACTTGATCTTTGTCTTTGAGACAGACTGAATGTAATGTTTGAATTATCCTTTTTTGCTTCCTGCCTTCAGTATCGATCCATAAATCACCGTGTGGACTCCAAATCCCTGTGGCTTTATCGATGGTACTATTCAAGGACTTGCCAGTGGTAAGAACTTGGTTATTCCTTTTGCTTTCTCGTTTAAGAGTAAGTCCTTCTGAAAAATTGCTCTTCCATCTTTCTTTTTTGTTAAACAGTTAGATGACTCTGCATTTATCCTTACAAGAACTTGCTGTAGGAAGCCAGGGGGTGTGAACACGACAGAAGTGCAGAGCAGCCAGTTATAGGAAGGTCTGATCACGTAGGTGGCTATTTAGAACAGCTGTAGGACTGCTGCATGAATGGACTGTGAGCATGATTTGCAGCACTGTGTGTTAAGAGTTTTCAAAGTGTCTATTTCTAAACATTCTAAATAACGGCAAGATTGTTTTGCAGCTGTTAGTCCCAAAAGAACACCCCCTGAGGTTGTTTGGTGGTCAGCAGTTGCATCACTAACGCAGGCAACAACATGCTAGTCAAGTGCTGCCTTCTAGTCTAACCCATTTGTGTTAAATATGGTATTATAAAGCTTGGTTTACTTCTGAGGAAAGTGCTTTTACTCTTAAATATTTTGCTGTTCGTTTGACTCATTTTGTGAGGTTTTTTTTTTGGGGGGGGGTTGTTTGTTGTTTTGTTGTTTGGTTGTTTTTTTTTTTTTTTTTTTAAATTTTATCTCTCTCCAACCAGGATTTTGAGTTTAACCATCACTATAATCCTGGCTTTGGCTTTCGTTGAAGAGCCTTCTTCGCTCACGGTCACGTCGGATGTGCGGTACCGCCCTCCCGCTTGGAACCCGCCCTGTGGCCTGACCGAAAGCCTGGAGCTGCTCTGCTTCCTGGTGTTTGGGCTGGATGTGTCCGTGAAGGTGAGCACTGGATGAAACGGTTGGTGTGTGGGGCAGCCCAGTGTCCGTTTTCTCCATCCACCTCTCATTTTTATCTACCTTTATTTAGTTCTCGTAGGAAAGAAATAAAAATATCTGAACAATGTATTTATGTTTGGATTTTGGAGAGCTCTTAATGAGCACTGGTTTAAAATTACAGGTACTTGGGAAACAATTGGTGTATACTAATATATATATATATATATATATAGTATGTATATTGGAATATATATATACACACAATATATATTGGAATATATATATATATACTATGTATACTGGAATATATATATACACAATATATATTGGAATATATATATAGTATGTATACTGGAATATATATATACACAATATATATTGGAATATATATATATAGTATGTATATTGGAATATATATATACACAATACATATTGGGATATATATATATACGCACAATACATATTGGAATATATATATACTATGTATATTGGAATATATATATATATACTATGTATATTGGAATATATATATATATACTATGTATATTGGAATATATATATATACTATGTATATTGGAATATATATATATATATACTATGTACATTGGAATATATATATACTATGTACATTGGAATATATATATACACTATGTATATTGGAATATATATATATATACACATATATTGGAATATATATATATATACACACAACATATATTGGAATATATATATACACAATATATATTGGAATATATATATATATATACACTATGTATATTGGAATATATATATATATATATACTATGTATATTGGAATATATATACATATATATACATATATATACATTATGTATATTGGAATATATATACATATATATACGCTATGTATATTGGAATATATATACATATATATACGCTATGTATATTGGAATATATATACATATATATACGCTATGTATATTGGAATATATATACATATATATACGCTATGTATATTGGAATATATATACATATATATACGCTATGTATATTGGAATATATATATATACGCTATGTATATTGGAATTTATAATTATATATTTATAATTTTCTATTGTTATTATAATTATAATTATATATAATTATATATTATAATTACACACATATATGTTATACATATATAGTATATATTCCAATATTAGGGTATATATATTCCTATATATATATAATTATATGTTCCAATATTAGGGTGTTGGAATTCATTGTTAAAGTAAGTTTTGGTTGCCTTTTTTTTTTTTCCCCCTTGCCCAGAGTTACTTAATTGGATGGAAAGAATTTTGGAAAAACAAATGGCTAATGGCTTATATACTGACATTAATTGTCTCCCTGACTGATTGGATTGTCTCGCTGAGCTTTTTCTGCACGGAGGTAAGAACTGTTTCTGCAATAACCATCAGCATCTTGATTGTGGAAAGTGGCAGAGGAGAAGAGCCTGCAAAGGGATAGTCAGCAGGGTGTATATGGTGCATTGCAGGATTAAGAGATGGAGGAGGAGATGGTTCATTTTTGGCCTTTGATAGCTGGATAACACACAAACACAGAAAAACTTATTGATGATGTTGCCTTGCTAAGGATTATGTTTCATTCTTAATGTGTGTGTTCACTGGTAAAATTAAATAAAACTTTGCTGCTCTGGTCTGTCAGTAGGCAGACAGTTTAAAGAAAACTCACTGCACGGCAGCAATTTTGTCATGCAGTTGGAGAATTATATCCTTAACTTGATTCAACAGCAGAGTCTATGCAGTGATGTGTAAGTAAAAGGTAGTTTAACAGCTGCTTGCTGAGCTGAAACTGTGCTGTGTTCAAAGCAATTGTGTTCTGAGGGGAGTGTCAGCTTTGTGAAATGGCTCTAGAAGTGCCCTCCTTTATGTAATAATGCCATCTCCCAGTTGGTTTTCTCTGCCACGGATTTTCATTAACAGTCATTGTTAAGAAAACACTAAGATGGTAAAAATGCCGGGAAGTGAATGAAGGAGAAATCTTGAACTTGGCTTCTTTTGTCATTTCTCATGTCAAAACTGGTATCTGCTGTCTTCAGAGAACTTCCAAACCTGTTTTCAGTTACTGTCAGTGTTGGTCAGGATGAGGTTGGATGCAGGTGCTGCTGTGGGTGCCACACTGTTTAGCTGTTCATGCTGTTCATTCTCTCATCACTGGTCACTGCTGACCTGGATGTGATGGAGCATCAGAGGCGTGATCTTGAAATGGTGAATAAAAATGTTATTTGAACTTACAAGCATCTAACAGTGAGAAAAGTGACTATGTCCTTTTTGTGTTCAAACCAAATAAATACAATGCTGCTGAAAGAAGTTAATCACCTTGGAGGAAAACTGAGCTTACAGCATGGGGAAGTGATCATAGAATCTTTAGGTGTGATAATGGATGAGTAGTTTGAACAGGAGCCTCCCACACAAAGCAGTGGCAGGAGTAGTTGAACTGCTGGGATGTGTGAACAAGGGGATAGCAATGAAGAAAGGGGTGTTGTGGGAGGTTTTTTTTGATGTTAAGTGTGACCCGGAGAAGATTGGTCCTAAAATCCAGGATGCTGAAACACCTGAAGCAGCTGATAAGTTGTCACAGAAATAACTTGAAGGCTGGCAAGTGTCTTGAAGGCAAGAAACAGATTATTTGCTGTAGTGTTGTGGGGAAAAAAAACCAAACAATTACAGTTTGAATCTTGTCAGAGACAGAAATTGCTGAGTAATAAGCAGGCCCTTTAGTTATAAAACAAAAAAAGAAGTCAGTCTGAAAATTGAAATCGAGCACTTATTTTTAGCATGTGTATTTGTTTTTATTGAAAGCAGCTCACTATTAATTCCTTTCCTGAGATAGGAAATACAAAAGTGCCATCTCTTGCCAGCTTGTTATGTCTAGCGAGCAGTGAAGTTAGATTGTTTCTAATTAGTGGTCTGATGAGGCTGTTGAAATGTCAATGTGTGGTTTTTAAAGCAATCTCTCCTCATTTTAATGAGGCATCTGAAGTCTGAAATCTCTCTTGCCTGTTTTGTGAGCTCAGTGGGGCAGAGTTACCATCTGAGCACAGCCTTCTTCTGTCGCACTGTTGACTTTGTTGGTATTTAAATCAGTGCTTTTTGGCAAACTTGCCTGGAAAGTGTTTGTGCCACCAGTCTTATGGGAACTCAGTGTCTGATCTGTTGGTTTTTGCAGAGTTTGAGGATAAGAAGGATTCTTCGTCCGTTCTTTCTCCTTCAGAACTCCTCTATGATGAAGAAAACATTAAAAAGTATCAACAGCACATTGCCTGAAATGGCAAGGTAGGTAACAGTATAGAAAACATCCTTTCACAGCAAGCAGGGAGTAATCTTTGTGTTCTGCTGTGTGGAATATGAGCAACCTCCCTCTAAGTTCTTGGTGAGATCAGGTAGCAATGGATGGAGGTTGTATTAGGTTTTTGATTCCTTTTAGTCTGTAAAATAGCTCTAGAATGCACATGTTGTGACTCTGTGACAGATAAGGTTTTTGATGCTGGTGCAGTGGGAATTTTTGATTCTGCTTTTGTAAGGGAAGAGCTAAGCAAGGGTCTGTGCTGTGTTTTCTCCAAGGTAACCTCTCAGAAATATGGGTAGACACACATGTACTTGTCTTCCAGTCATGAGGGCCACACAAAAAGATACCTCTTTCTTTGCATCTTCAGATGGATGTAAATCTGTCTTCAGAGTGCTTTACTTCAGCTTTTTCCTTTCTAAATAGTTTTAGCAGTGTATATATGTATATATATATATAAAAAACTACTTTTAGTGTTAAGCTGGAAACCCCACTGGTGAAATTGTAACCAGACAACGTGATGGTTTTTGATAGAGGTCTCTTCCTGTGACATGGGTCATGTGTGTGTAGAGCTTATGGAACCCACTGCCCTTGCCTGTTACTTTTTCACTACCAAGCCCCAGGAGAATCAAAGGTGTGTGTGCAAGCCAAGGTGTTGTATTTTGATTGGAGGGTATAAATATGGTCCTTTCTCTAAAAAAAAAAAAAAAGAAGTGTTAGAATCTTATTGACATCACAAAAAGTCTGAGCTTGTGCTGAGGAGTCTCCACAAATGTGATTTTTATTTTTGGTTAAAACTTAGATTGTGTTCTATTTCCATATAGCTTCTTAAAAAAAACCCCAACCCTAGTTTCCTTTATATTGCATTTTTAGCACAGGATGTTATTAAGAATAAGATAAATTTGCTATTAATGCACATGGTTTCTTTCCAACAGTGTTGTTCTGCTGCTGGCTGTTCATCTGTCCCTCTTCACCATGTTTGCCATGCTGCTGTTTGCTCGAACAAAGGTAATCACTTCCATTTCTGCTGTGCTGGATCTCGGGGGGCTTTTCTCTTTACTTGCACAGCTGCTTCATGTCCAGTTTTATGATCAAACTAGTGGAACTTGTTTCCCCTGAAAAGGTCGTGTTACCTTGTCAGACTGGCTGTGATGAGTTTGAAGTCCACTTGGAGGGGTTTAACATGTGCACAGTATTCCATCTGTACAAGAGACTTCCTCGTGCATTTATCCAGTTTGATCCTTCGAGTTGCTTTCCCTGCTTTTGTGGAAACCCTCTGTGCTGTTCTGCATCCAAATCTCTTATCGCTTTTTCATTTATGTTATCACTCATCTCTTCTTTTTTTTTTCTCTTCCTTATCTAGCTGTTTGCTAATTTTTCTTCCATGCTTTCTCACCTTCCAATACTGGTACCCCTGGCCATGCCTTGGTAGGTTTTTACCTGCTTTACTCTGATGTTTTGGTTTCTGATCTCTGGGTTTTCCTCTCGTTTTTCTCTTCCTGCTTCCGAAAAGCAAATTTGAACTTTTGTGGTTAAAATAATATTGTGTTCCAGTGCTCTTGGTATGTTCCCTCTCTCTAAAATTTCCTCTATCTTAATGTATTATGCTCAGATATTTTGAGTAGGTTTTTTGTTCTTACTTTTTAAGGCCTTCCATAGACGTGTTACTGTGAGCACAGAAATTTCCTGCCTACTTCTCTCAGTAATTATAGTCCTCTCCTTAATCTCAGTTTTGCACCTTCATTCCTACTGCAATTTGAGCCTGCCTGTAGTCTTCCTCGTGGTCAGCAAATTCTTTGAATTCCCAATTTATGGAATTTCTGAAATCAGAAGCAGAGCTCTGTTTTCCTGCTTTAGGTTGCATTCTGGATCTTTGTGTTATCTTCGTGTGTCACATCTAACTTCAGTAATGAGCTTTCCCAGCAGTGGGAATATAACTTGTATACCTAAACCAGTCAATTTTGTGTACATTTAGGTGAAAAATAACAAATTACAGAGTGGACTTGCCTATTTTGATGTGCTACTCTGACATTCACACAAACTAATTTTATCTGACAAGGCGAATTACTGAAAGCCAAGTTCTAAAAATACATTTATTAACGAAATTCATGCCTCTACATTTTTTGCATTGTCTTGTTTATGTCCTCTAGAGGTACATTTTGCAATCTTTGCAGCAGATGCAAGGGCTGTTTGTTCTGTGCTGCATCATTCATGTTTGTATTGTTTGCACTCTGCATCTTTTTTTATCTGCCTCTGCTTGACCTTGGAGGGGGGGAGAATATGTGGATGACCCAAGATTAGCCTGCCAGTATGTTTTTGATGAAGATTTTGACACTGAGCTTTAGCAAATCATCTGATGTTTTCCCTGAGCCACAAGATAACTGTGATGACCTTAGTTGCCAAAGTATTTGCAAATACATTCTGGGTGCCGTAGCACTTATCCTTTTTTTTTTAAATTTTCTTTCTCCAAGGTGTTTAAGCTCTAGCGATGTTTTCATTGATATTGTAACATGGCATTTTAAATCTTCATTTTTTCTCAAAACAGTCACCTGTTTTCTACATGCCCAGCAATTCCTGTGCTGTGCATGAATTTCCTGCCTGAGGGGATAGCAAGAAGAAGGGGAAAACCTTTGTTTTGCATAGTGGTAGTAACTTTTGTACAAAAAACTGATCCAGGGGATTTTAAGTTTTTTATTTGGAAGTCAAAGGGGAAGTGAAAGACACTCAGTGGGTGTGCTGGTAGAGCTGCAGATGTGATTCTTTTAAATTATTATTATTTTTTTTCAGTCATATTTTATCTGCAGTATAATTTCTTGCAGGCTAAGAAGTGACACTTCTTATATCAATCAAGGGTCATTTCAGATTCCTGTGCTGTCAGTTTGTGATATAACTTCTATATTGAGCTTCCTGTTCTTCCTGGCAGTTTTTAATTGCTGTTAATAAGTGAAGTGATTGCTCTGTATTCCCACATAATGTCTTCATTTTGATGCTTGGTTTGTGCTTTTTTTCACGGGGTAGATGTGATTATGTGCGTAAGAAATCGATTATTGACTGCCTTTAGTTCTTTTTTCCCCCCTTTCCTTGGTAAGACAGTGATTCTTCAGTGTTTCTCCTAACAATGATCATCTCTTTGACCAGGATAACCAGCAGGATAAGGAGTGGGTGGTGTATTTCCGGAATCTGCCGGATTCACTGACATCCCTGCTGGTCCTGCTGACTACTGCAAACAATCCTGATGGTGAGCAGTCTTTCAGAAACAGCTCTTGTCTCTCCTTTCAAAGAACAATAGAGTTAAGATTACCTGCAGACTACTGTAACCATTTTTTCAGCTGGTAGTTCTTAATACAGCCAGAGAAAGGTTGGAAAAAGGTTTTCCATGCCTTTAGTAACTTGATTCTTGCCCTTCTTTGGGGTAATTATGTATTGCCAGTGCAGCTGTATAAGAGCTTTCACCAATTGCCAAAAATTGATTGAGGTCTCCACTGTGCATCTTAAGCATTAAAATATTATTTCTTTTTTTTGTTCAATCTCACACAGTGATGATTCCTGCATATTCTAAGAATCGAGCATATTCCATCTTCTTCATCCTCTTCACTGTATTAGGTAAGTTACCTCTTGTCTTCAGTCGTGTAAATGCACTTTGACACTTGTGCTTAACAACCACGGTGGTTTATTTTCCTAGGAAAATTTAATCATAAATTTCTCCTTTTTTTGTGTTTCTTCCAATTATTGTGTAATGCCTGTGAGATAATTTTCACTTGTGGCCTGGGGGTTTTGGTAACACGTCACAGAGAAATGCACACATTACAGTACATGAAACCACTTCGGAAATCAAACACGAGAAAACTAATCCTCTTTAAATGATAAATTTTATTTACTACATGCACTGAAACTTCTTTGATAAATATGATATGGATTTCAGTAGTTCTTACTGCCTCTTTTTCTCCAATAGGCAACCTGTTTCTGATGAACTTGCTTACAGCAATAATATACAACCAGTTTCGAGGATACCTCCTGGTGAGTAAAGCATTTCTAATTTCTGTGTGCTGCCATAACCTTGAACGTGTGAAATATTAAGTGCCATCTGTGCATTAAAGCAGGAGGCCTGTTCTGGTTGTAAGTTTTAAGATGCTAAATGTTCTTTGATGGAGATACTTTTCCCATTATATGCTGCTGTAGCTTGATCCCCTTCTCTGATAAAATTACTTGCTTGCATACTTCCGTGAATGCTGTGGATCTGCAACTTTGACTGTTATGGGGGGGAAAAAACCCTATTATAAAATTGAACAAGGTGAACAAGTAACTCAGACTTGGGTTTTGTGAAGAAAATCTGCTGTACTGTTTAAATAGCCATTGTTGCAAATCATAGAATCACAGAATGTTAAGGGCTTGGAATGGACCTTGAAGATCATCCAGTCCCAACCTCTCTGCCACGGGCAGAGACACTTCCCACTAGACCAGGTTGCTCAAGGCCTTATCCAACCTGGCCTTGAACACTTCCAGGGATGGGGCATCCACAACCTCCCTGGGCAACCTGTGCCAGTGTCTCAGCACCCTCACAGTAAAGAATTGCTTCCCAATATCTAACCTAACTTTCCCCTCTTTCAATTTGTACCCATTACTCCCTGTTCCTGTCACTACAGTTCCTGATGAGAAGTCCCTCTCCAGTTCCCTGGAGGCCTCTTCAGATACTGGAAGGTGCTCTGAGGTCTCCACACATCCTTCTCTTCTCCAGGCTGAACAACCCCAACTTTCTCAGCCTGTCTTTGTAGGGAAGGTGCTCCAGTCCCCTTATCAACTTTGTGGCCTCCTCTGGACTTGCTCCAACAGTTCCATGTCCTTCCTATGTTGAGGACAGCAGAACTGGATGCAGCATTCCGGGTGGGATCTCACAAGAGCAGAGTAGAAGTGGAGAATCACCTCCTTTGACCTGCTGGCCACGCTCCTCTTGGTGCAGCCCAGGGTTCTCATGCCTGTGATTTCCTTAAGGTTTAGTGTCAGGAGAAACTTGGTGACTTTGGGTGTGATTTTTTTTTTCCCCCCTTATTTACATATCTTCTTATAGTTCCTTCATTACTGGCTTCTCGTAATATATATATTATAGTTCCTTCCCCTTACTTACATAGTTTTATAGTTCCTTCAGCCCTTCAGAGGAGGGGGGTGTGGGCTTGGGGGGGAAAGTGAAGTAATAGCTGCCTGCTCTAGTAGAGTTCCAGAGAGGAGAAGTTTTTTGGCCTTAAGCAATGTTACACAGAAGGAATGGCCCCCCCCCTCTTGTGAGAGAGAGGTGTTTGAACCCAATATGTGCAAAGAGGATTTTCGGTAATCCTTTCCTCCTCCTCTGTTTCTTCCCGTCTTTCTCAGTTTTTCACTTCCTCACATGAGAGCATGACATAACTTGACTCCCAACAAAGCAGCTGAGTTTGAAAGTGGTTATTGTGGAGGGGAAAAAAAAAACATGAAGAACTGTGGCTCTGGATTTGTGCCTTTAGGGGAGAAGCTGGAGCTTCACAAGCAGTCTCACTCTTCTCTCTGCACAGGAGTGTGAATTGCTGTGAATCCTTGAGCTTTGCTGTTGCCCGTGTCTCTGGAACAGGCATATGCCTGTGCAGTCCAGAATTGAAAATAATTCATGACCTGGATGTTTACTTGGATTCCAGACTTGTTTGCTTTCCTGCTTGCTTCCTTCCTCCTCGTACACAGAGTTCTTGGAGGGAGTGAGGCTGAGGGCAGTCCCCTGTTCTGATCTCTAATCACAGATCCAGGATGTGTGCCAGAGGATCAGTGTATTCTGTGGCCATAGGACAATAGTAGTGCATGAAGTGTGAGTAAATTGTTTCCTCTGTGGTGTTTTTACTGTTCAGAAATCAGTTCAGTCCTCCCTCTTCAGGAGGCGGCTGGGAATCCGGGCTGCCTTCGAAGTGCTTTCCACCCTGAAAGAGACTCCTGCTAATGCCCAACAGTAAGTGGACAATGTTGAAACAGTAGATTATCTAGCAAAAAAAGTACATTTTTGGTCATCTACGTTTTGTTTAATTTACTGAGGATCCACTCTTAAAATATGGCAGTGTGTTGCTCATCTCATTTTATTTATTTTTAATTTAACTGAATGTTCATAACATGCTATTTGGGACTTATGGTGTCTGTTTCCCTTTTATTTCTACTTCTAATTTTACCTGGTTTTCCAGAAAAGAAAGGCAGGAATGCATTTGGAACAGCTCTTTTTTTTTTTTTTTGCCATCTATACAGTTATCTGTACCAGGGCCCATTCTGTTTTCTTTTAAATAGGTCATATGTCAGCAGTGGGGCCTTACACCAAGTGCTGCAGAAAGTTGAGATGGATTCTCGCTGCAAACAAGCCATCCTGAGGGTAAGAAGTGAATTTTCTTAGCCCTGATGCTGGTGACTGTCAAACCCTGTGATGTGACAGCTGTGGAAACTGAAATTTCCCTAATTACACCATTGACCTAGGAATGGCAGCTTTCAGCTCAGCTCCTTTATGCTGCTTCCTCAAAGTGTGAACAGAAGCCCAGCTCACTGTCTGTTTATGTTTTGATCTTCAGAATGAAAGTAGTCCTTAGACAAGGATTTCACCCTAAAGTTGCTCTCTTTGGTTGGTGTGATGAGGGTTGCATTCACCTGGAGAGACGTATAGAGGAATGAAAGCTCCTGTTTTGCAGAGCTAATTTTTCCGTTGGCTCTACTTTCTCCCTGGAAGTATTGTGGTCTGGAGCTGCTCTCTGCTGTGCAGCATTCCTTGGATCATAACATAATAATGGCACTACCACAGGACTAAAAAATTTAAGTTTGTCAAAAGTGCCTGTGGTTCCAGAGAGGGGAAAATAGAAAAGGCAAGAGGAATCCTCCAGTCACATGGCAGTGTTGTGTTAAAGCAAAATGGAACCTCACTCTAACAGCTTGGAGTAGCTTGTGTTAGATCTCTATTCCGTGTCTTTTAAAGATTGTCTGAGAGTTTTGGCACTTTTTGCAGTTGCACCTATTGCAGATTCTGATCTGAATGTTTCTCTTTCATGTGCAGTCGCTCAAAATGTGCTCCTGTGACCAACTGTCAGCTGCCCAGTTCCAGAAGCTCTTTGAAGAACTAGACAAAGATGCCATTAAGCAAGTATGTATCTGACCATTGTTTATGAAACATCAGAAGTTGTCTGGTCCTGTGCAAAAATAAGTGATGGTATTGTCTATAAAGTGTATAAACAGACTTTAAAACATGTAAACACAACACAAGGTGCAATCACACGTTGTTGATTTTGAAGTTGTTCATGAGTTGCTCTTATAGTCACAAACAATGTGGCTTTGGGGGCTTTCGAAGCATTCATCTGGGATTGCCCTAAATGTACAAAATTGTTAATTCTGTCAGCATTTTAAAGCGACTTTGCCAAACAAAATTGATGAGATCTGCGTGTGTATTTTTCTAGTAGGAAGATTCATTACAAGGAAACAAAGAATAGGAGTTGGATTTACAACATTGGCTCTCTGAGAGGTGCTGTGGAGAAATGAATTATTACCTCCCTGGTAAATTGGTTTTGATGAAATAGGAGGGATTTGTCTTGTTGTGACAGTCCTACATTAAAGGAATGCCTCTTCAATTGTGTTAGTCTTTGCAGAGTAACACTTAAATATACTCAAAGACTTTTCTCCAGTCCCTGAGTGAAGAACAAAATATGGATTCTTTAAGTGTTCAGATGAAGATGGGCAGAAAGCAGCCTTCTCCTCTTGGAGGGAGAAAGAAAAAAACAAAACACAACTATTTGAGGGTTAAGAAATGTTCTTTTCTATGTCTGCATGTAACCAAGACTTCTGAATTAAACACTGGGAAATGGGGAAGGCATGGGTACAATTAATACCTTGGTGTTTAGTTTACCTGCTTGGGGTACTGAAGAAGGGTTGGACTATCTCCCTTCTCTGCCATTCCCTCGTGTTGTGCCATAATCAGAAATGAACTTTTGCTGTGAACAGCCACAGCTTGGAAACATTTTCCAGCTGAAATGTCAAAATTAGCCTGTGGTCCTGAAGTTTTGCTTTGAAAATGTCTGGCTTCTTTTAAAAGCTGAGCTTGGGTGTGGGGTTTTATTATTTTAGTACTACTAAAATGCTTTTGCTTTGATTCTCAGCACATCCTTTGTGTTCTTTTCAGCATCCTCCCAGTCCAGAGTACCAATCCCATTTTATGCAGAAATTGCAGTTTGCCTTTGGCCATCCCTACTTTGGCTACTTGGGGAATGTGGTAGCCCTTGCAAACATTATTTCTGTCTGTGTAAGTAAAAGGGTTTTTTTGTTGTGGGGTGTGTGGGGGGGGGTTGTCTGTTTTTTTGGTTTTCCTCTGCTACAAACCTAAGTTCTGTTTTTGTTCTTTAGTCTTTCTTTAAACAACCATTTTTTGTAGCAGCTGGCAGGGTTTTGGCATACTTTAGTCATGTAAAAAGTCTTAAGTTGAGAGGGAATACCTGCAGTTAAAAATATATTCTCAATTGCTTGGAAAAGGTCTGTGCAAAGCATGAAAGACTCTTCTTGTGCTTAAAAATCTGTTTTATGTAGCAGTAAAGCAGTGGATTCATAAAATATTTCCTGTTTAAGGTGGTTTTGGTGATGGATGCAGATAAACAGCCTTCTGAAAGAGATGACTTCTTCCTGGGGGTAAGATGCAGTAGCATTCCTACAGTTATTGCTGTTCCCTGAGATGTCAGTAATTCTAATGATTGTTTTTATTTTGGGGGGGTGAAGGCCATCAACTGCTTCTTCATCCTGTACTATCTGCTGGAAATGTTGCTGAAAATCTTAGCAATGGGCTTGAGAAGATACTGGTCTTACCCAAGCAATAGATTTGATGGACTTCTGACTGTAATTTTGCTGGTAAGTGTTTTGTTAACTAATGTGTTCTTGTGCTTGTTGGGTAGGGAGGTTGGGAACTACAAGAGCTGGTGGGATTGCTCTTTCTTCAACACTGACAGGCTGAGCTGAACAACATGAGCAGTGGTTTTCAGTGGCTTGAAAGTTTTTGCTGGTGCATGGTTCCTTTAGGGTCTGCTTTCTGAAGGCAGGCTTCTTTAAATCCATGGAAAAGGTGAGTTTTCTTATAAGAAGTCTTTTTATTGCTATTTGGAAATATTCAGCTCTTTAAATAATTGCATAAGGAGTTCTGTTATGCAGCTAAGATGACCTTGTTCTTTCAATAAAGAGGCAGGTTATTGTAATAACTATTTGGTAAAAACCTGAAGCCCACGTGGCAGATGAGGTCAAATTCATGGCTAATGGTATTCACTGTGTATCCTTTTATTGAATGACCTATGTACATTGAGATAATCTGGGGAATAACTGGGCAAATATGACAACTCAGAGCTTTAAAGTGAGTCAAAAAAGCAGCTTAATGCTCTTAAAAATGTTTCCTGTCAAGAAGCTTACAGAATTTCTGAAACTCAGAATTACAAAGTAAAATTTTGACCTTTTTTTCCTCTCTTTCTTTCCTAACTAAAGATTTTGGAGATTGCAACTTTTGCTGTGTATGGATTTCCTCATCCTGGCTGGTAGGTGACCTCTGTGAACTGCTGCACTTTGCTCAGTGACTGGACTGGGTCATGCTGTAAAATTTAATAGAAAAATGCCCACAGACTTAGACTATTTGTCTATACTGGAGTACCAAGCAGTTGTATTTTGATTTTTTTTTTTTTTTTTTTTTTAAGATCAAACAGCTTTTGGATAACTCTCCTGATCTTTTCTTGTTACAAAAAACAACTTACACTGTTATCTCTGCAGAGACCTGGTAGACCTTATGTTTTGAAAATGGCTTATACTTGAACACTACTAAAAACAACACTACAAAAAAGTGATGGTTGGCAGAATAGTAATTGCTACAGTCTAATGGCATTCGTTATTATCTTAGAATTGATTCTGTTTGGGTTTGATTTCGCCCTTTGATTCTTAAATGCAGATGATTGATTGCTCTACATCTTGGAGCACCAGTAACACTTGTTAGGTCTTTGTGTCAGTCACTGCAAACAGATTATAACCCCCATGAGTCACTGGTGAGTGTGTGCTGTTGGTCTGTAGATGTAACACCTTCAGGACAGTGATGTGACTGTTATCTAGAATATGTGTTCTCTGCAGTGTTGTCTTAAATAATTTCTTTCATAAACATGCACTTTAAAGAGCACTCTCTGCATGTTTAAGAGCCCAGGGTAAACGGTGGGGGGGTCGCTTCCTGCAACAGTTGTCAAGGGTGAGATTCCTGCTAAGTAAATGAACATCCTTACAGTTACCTGTAGCCCAGGAGATGAAACTCTGTCTCTCTGTCACGAGCTGTTTCTCTGATTGGTTGTTTTCTCCCATCTTTCCCAGGAGACCTGAGTTGATGGGTCTGTTATCCCTGTGGGATATGGTGCGGCTGGTGAACATGCTGATCGTGTTCCGCTTCCTGCGGATCATCCCCAACATGAAGGTGAGTGCTCATCCCTCCACAACTCCCATTTCTTTCTTGGTCACCTCATAAATTTTGTTCCAGCCTTTCAGAATAATGTACAGACTGCAATTCTTTTGCCCATGGGTGGGGTCAGAGCTCAGCTCTGACTGTCCTGGCTGTTGCACAGCCCCTCACAAATTCCCTGTCTCTGGGGCTGGTTTTCTCTGTTGAGGCAGCAGACAAGTTCTGTTGGTGTGGTGGCAGTTGCTGCTGCTATTCTAAGGTGGGCAAACTTATCCAGAAACACTCGTGCAGCTCGTGTGGTGCTTCAGTCTTAATTAGATGAGTGGCTGGGATATCCTTGGAGAACTTTGTACTAAGGAGGAGTTAGAATTGCTTTCACTAGATACTGCAAGACATTTGGTAATGCAAAGGGTTTTGTGGGATAAATCCTTCTCCACCTTCCCAGCAGAGGTATTTCCACCACGATACATGTACTTGAGTCAGGAATCACTTTGATTGTTTGTTATAATTCTGCATTTACTTGCTTAAAAGCTAAGCCCAAATTAATGTCGGGTGCAGGGTTTATATCTCACTTCAGTAAGCCATAAATACCAAACCTGATGGTGTCAGTGGAAAGTGTAAAATAGGAATTATGTGGGTCAAATATGAAGCAGTCACCCTGGAGCTGGGAGGTGCTGGTGTTTTGCTTGCCTCCCATTCTTTCTAGTCTTACTAGACATATAGTCTTTTAGGTTGCAGTGCCTGTATATATTTAAGACTTTTGATGATGTCTGTCTGTGAAAAAGACTCCTACAGCATTGTTCATTCATTTTAAATAAATCATGGAAATTTCTCTGTATCAAAGATGTCTTGCATGTAGTCATAGTTCACTTTCCCTGTTGGTATTTCTTTGTCCTTTTAGTAAAAATAATTTGATGTGGAATGGAAGTGGGATGAATGTCATACATGTAGAATTCTGCTTTGTTTTAGTTCATGGCTTTGGTTGTCACTACATTGCTGGATCTGGTAAAGAACTTAAGAGCCTTTGCAGGAATCCTCGTGGTAAGTCATGATGCAAGGCTGTCATTTGCTTTGTTATAGTTAGCAGTCTAATAAGGGTATGTCTCCAACAGAGTTAACAAGTATCTTGTACAGTCACCAGGATCACCTCAATCAGCCAGTTCTTCTCTTCTGTGTTTGAAAGCCAGGACAAACTGCTGTTTTGTTATGGCCTGTGCACCGTGACAGTGCCTCTTTTATCAGGAGGATCTTTAGAGTGACTGAAGCTTCCTCAGAGTGCTTGCCTCAGGCTGGATACTCTGGTTGCAAATCAAAATTCATCCATGCTAAAAGCAGACCAGTTTTCCTTACCCTGATTTGCTTATTAATATTTGCTTATTAAATAGCAGAACCACTTGAAAATCGTTTTCCAGTTGAGAAGGTCTTGAGATGGCATGTTTGGACATGGCTTTTGAAAGCCTCCTCTCATCCTGTTTTGGGTGTGTCTGTGTAGAGCACATGCTCTGTAACCATGTGATTAAAGGGTGGATCACAATGCATGATGTCCATTACACAAATCCTCCCAAATCCTGAGTTTCTGGCTTTGCAACAAGTCTTCCTGGTAGAGCAAAGAAGTACCTGGGTAGGTTTGGTTTTGTTTTGTTATTGTGCATGGGGTTTTGTAGGATACTTTATTTTGAGGTAGTGGTTAGAGACCAATGATTTGTTGTTCTAGTCTATACATTTAGCATGCAATTTAACCAGAATGTCTGTTTTTGTCATTAATAATCTCTACTTTTATCTGTAGAGGAGGGGCCCTAGATTGGTGTGTGTTACAGTTTGAAATAAAGATATTGGTTGGGGCAAAGCAAATTTGGTAACAACTTTTGTTGTGCTCTACAAGTCACACTTGCCACTGGGAGCTTTTATTGGAACTGAGAAGTATTTTCTTTCATTCCTGAAAGAAGGGGTGGGAGCCTGTAGCAATAGGCTTGATTTTTATTTTCATAAAATGTGCGTTAGTGTTTCACTGTAGTGTCTCTATGCATATATGTGAGACATGATTCTCATAAAGTGGCTGCTGCTGATTGCCCTGAGTGTCAGGAGTGTGAATTGTAGTTTTGCAGCAGTTGTGAGGCAAATCTGCCACAGTGCTTGCCACTTCCATTAGTTTAATTTGCTTTTGCCCCAGGCTATGTGGAAGCTGTCACCGAGCTGCTGCTCTGCTGAAATCTGACTCCACTGCCAGCTGATAGAAAATATCTTTCCTAAAGCTAGGCTGGAACACATGCTGATAAAGTAATGTAACTAATTAGCTAATTTCTCATGCAGTGAGTCTTTGAAATATATGGGTTTTTTTTCAAAGAATAAAATTAATTTTATTGCCCCATCTTCTGGCAGGCTGTGAAATATCAGCTTCAACTTACTCCAGTGATGTTCAAAGTGCTGTGGTTCATAGGCCAGGGCAGTTCTCTTCCTCCCAGACTTCCCCCTCCTTAGGTCTGTTTGTAACAAAATACAAAAAAAAAATCAAATGAAAAAAGTATTTTTATTTTTAAGACTCAGCTTGTTTCAAGCTTTCCTGGGACAAGTGGGTCTTTCTCAGAGGAGCGAAGCTGTAGGTTATTTCTAGAACAATCTTTGTAGGATAAAAACTAGAAAATTACCCAAGTGACTGCTAAAGACTGAAAAGTGTCTTTTTAAAGGGAAGTTTGCATTTCCAACAAGTAGAAGAAAGGAATTTCAAACTCCTCTGTGTTACCGAAAACTTTATTTTTAGGCTAATTGTAACATTTTTAAGAAAGTTGCTGGTGTAATATAAAATACTGGCTTGGTTTTGTCCTTCAGCTAAGTTTAATAAAAACTTATTTTCACTGAATCTAGCAGAAAACGCCCTAAATAAAAATATTTAGATTTTGCTTTGTAAATACTGTCAGTGTGTTTTGGTTTAAGTTGCTATTCTGCAACGTTAACAGTTAAATATCAACACTCTGAGACACAAAAAAGCAAAACAGACCAAAAAGTAAAATAGATCATAAAATAAAAGGATTTAATGCATTTTAGGAACAGAAAGTTAAATAGAATATTAAAAAGTAAGAGCAAACAGTTAAGTATTTTCACTTTAAAAGCTTCAGGCGTTGTTCTTGACGTAATTCCTTCACCTGTGGTACAAATATAAATTCCATATCGATTGCGTTGCTTTCTCATTTAGTGACAGAAATATTCAAAGCTAACAGCTGCTTGTATTCCTCCCAGGTGGTTTTCTATGCATTTGCTATCACTGGCATAATGCTGTTTAAAGGTGCCGTTGTTCCCTTGGGAAACACCAGGTGAGGTTCTCAACATCACTGCTCACAAAGAATCCTGTCTTTCAAAAGCACCTGTTTGTGGTTGTTTTGTTGTTGTTTGTTTTCTCTTATTCTTGGAGCTGAATTTTAATGTTTGAATTTTAATGTTAAATCACAAGGCTTCATGTTCTGTTCTTGCTGCACTGAAATTGCAGGAAGGCTCGTCTGGTTTTGAACTGTTTCCCTTGTTTTCTGCCTTTGAGATACTGAACTTTCTGCAGGGCACTCAGGATAATTTTGGTTTTAAGGTACAGTTTACAGAAAGCTGTGTTCACATCCCCCTGTAATTCTCCCACAGTGCTGCCAACACAACATTTGCTAATGGCACTTTGCAGTGTGGGACCTACGAGCAGCTGGAATATTGGCCCAACAACTTCGATGACTTTGCCGTGAGTGTGATCACTGATGACATCCTTCCCTCTTCCCCTCTCCTCTTACCTCTCCTCATTTTCTGAGCCTTGAGTGTGTGAGAAATAACCACTGACCTTCTGTTCTGCTCACTTTTATTTAGGCAGCAGTGGTGACCCTCTGGGATGTGATGGTGGTGAACAACTGGCAGGTCTTTTTGGATGCGTTTTCAAGATATTCAAGTCCGTAAGTAGCAGTAACAATACTGAAAAAGTCTCCTATAAATCCAGTTTGGAAGGTAACTGAACAAGAATTATGCACATGGCACAATTCCACCTGCTAAGAGGGCTGCTGCTTACCTTTCTTCTGGAAATTCAGGTATAAAGGAAAGAAATTTAATGCTTCTGTGTTTTCTCTGTGGGTGAACAATTTTTTTGGCAGACTTAAACCCTTGGGCATATCTTTCATTTGTATTTAATGACTTTATGGGAATGTTTGAATGAACTGGGTGGCTTCTGGGTTGAGCTGTTCCAGTGCTCCTTGGCTGGTTATCCCAAGCCCTTAGTTAAGTTCTGCAGGCTCTGTGTGGGATAAATGTTTAACGTGGTCTGGAGGAGACTGGACAAGCCATGACAGAGAAATCCATTGGATCTGCAGTGAATGGAAGCTCCCTGTAATTCAAGAAATCTCTGAACTGCAAACAGCTGGAGATTGGGGAGCGCTTAGAGGGTAGCAACACAGATATTTTGCCATGGTTTTGCACTCTTTCCTATGTTTCTGCTTTTGACCATTCTAAGGATACTATCCCAGGTGGATCTCTTCCTGTGATCCAGCACAGCTTCTACTGGGCTGCTTTTCTGTCCCTTCAGAGTTCAATTAAGCAGATTGAGTGGGGAGAGTGAGTCTGGTTGATTTAATGAAGGGCTAAGATTTTTCTATTTTTAATTTTTTTATTCCCTACCTCATTTGACATCAAAAAAGGAGTAGTATTATATTTCAAGGAAAAATGTGATTTCATGGTGCTCTGCTCACTTTGAGGCTGAGGGTATTTACTGCCTACCTTACTTATTGTCTGTGTAATCTGATCTGCAGGTGGGCAAAGATCTATTTTGTAGCCTGGTGGTTGATCTCCTCTGTCATCTGGGTTAATCTCTTCGTAGCTTTACTTCTGGAGGTAAGGAAATGTGTTTATTTGGCATTGGATCCCAAAGCTGGGTTCTAATTTCTGCAGGAAGTTAAAAGAACCCAGGCAACTTTTTGAGAAGAGTATGTTGGGCTTGTGTGTGTTCTTTCTTTACCTTTCTCCTCGCTGCCCTTCCCGTGAGGAGTGAAGGAGGTTGGTTTTTTTCCTAGACAATTGTGTGCTTTACTTGCAGTTCTGTCACAAAACTGGTTGCATCTCATTGGGTATGTACATTTTCATTATGTCACTCTCTATAAAGATGAAAAATGTTATAAGTATTATAAAATTGCTTGTCTCTTGTACATTTGCACTTAACTTCAGCATTAGTTATTCAAGCTGCAGGCTTTTTGCCTTTTGATGTATCAACAAATGAAGTTAGCTCTTCAAATTTTTAATTTATTTGGCTCTCCTGTGGTTCTTCCCACCCTGATTTGAATTTACCATTGTTCAGTTCCACGCTAGAAGGGTGGAACTGATTATTTCTTTTTAAGAGACCGTATTCTAGAGTCTTTCAAAGAAGCTGGGGAAATGGAGGTATCCAAGCAATGCCATGAAGAACATATAGTTCTGCCAGTTTCTTGTGTATGTTTATCCTGCAAATTCAAATTTCTGATGGTGAAGGGAATGCTAATCAGAACCATCTCCTCCAGGTTAATAATTGTAGACTTCTCTTATAAGTAATGGAAGGAACTGAGTACCTGTAGAGGGCACTTCACCCCATCTCAAAACCTCTAAAAGTTTCTTTGGGAGATGTTTTTGTTGTTGCTGAAGGTATTGAGAATTTAAATTTATTATAGTAGGAAGAATGGCAAACTTTTCAGTCCAAGACATCTTCTGTCTGCTTACTTCTGCAGGGCTGTGGCCAAAGTTTTTGCTGTAAGAGCCAAGATGCAGCATTCTGAAGGAGGAGAGCAGCATCTCACTATTTTTCTCCCCCCCTTTTATTTTTCCCCTGAGCTGTCTTGTCTGCTCCCCAGTTATTAATTTGTCAGTGTTATTCAAGATGGGGAAGGGAACGTGACAAAACCAGTAGCTGAGCTTTAAGCTGTGATGCCTGGACTAGCAGTAGGTTTATATACGGTTGGGGTTTTAAAGTGGAAGAAATTCAGAGCAGGTAAAAATTTGTGGGTAGTTCACTTGGTTGTCTTGGGGAGGCAGTCCTTGCTAGGAGCAGAAGGCAGCAGGGCTCTCTTGTGCTCTGCTGTTCTTTCAGTTTGTGATGAGAAAGTTATTTCTTTCCTGAACAACAGGCTCGAATAAAGCAGTGACCCACAGCCAGTAAATGTGCTCTGACACTGAGTTTAAAAACAAAGCTCACCCCCCTCCCAAACCTTACCTGCAGACATAGTGACTAGATATTTCTGATGTCATCAGAAGTAGTCCTTTTAATTTTTCCCTGTTCCTTTTACATTTCAGAACTTTATTCACAAGTGGGACCGTCGCTGTCATCGAGAGTCTCTTTCAGATGTTGAATACCAGAGGACAGTGGAACTAATGTTCAGGTGAGTTGGACTGGATTTGATAATCAATCTAGGTTTTTTATGTTCTGTTTTAAAGGAGATGTGCTACCTGCAAGAGGGCAAAGGCTTGTTTTCCATCTCCTCCCTCTGAAGCAAACTGTTCTATCTGTTACTTAGGAAAAAATCAACAAGTGCTTTAGTTAGGCCTGGTTTAAGCTGACGTGGAATCCTAGCCTTTGTATGCTTTGTGCTCGTAGCAGGGTGGGAGAAGAGGTGCTGGGGGTGGGGGGAACAACTGCTGAGGGGGACAAAACCAAGGGAAAGAAGAAAAGGGAAGATGAGGAAAGTGATGCGTGTTCTTGGCTTATTATGAAATTGTGGGTGGTGAGTTGAGACTTGATGATCGTGTATGAGTGGAACTTCTGGTGCACGTTGGATATTCAATAGTAGCACTGGGAACATGTTCTCATCTGGGAGTTTTTTCAGGAAAACAAATCTACTGACCTTCACTTGTGTTGTACTGTGTGCAGGAAATTGCTTCCCTGCTTCTTGTGGGAAAACAGCTGCTGGTTTCCATGACACATCTGTAGAGGATGGATCATTTGCAAGTAGATGCATCTTTAGGGAGCATCAACTTATTGTGATTTTAATTCCTTGTTTCATTCTTGAAACGAGCACACGTCACATCCTCAGTATGTGCATTGCTAAAACAAATGCTGAGAAAGCTCCCTTTGCTGCCCCTAACAACTCATGCTTTTTCTTTGTAGAGATGTTTTGGAAGAACCTACAGAGGAGGAGTTGATGGAAAAACTGCACCAGCACCCACACCTGCAGTTATGTAGGTGACTGGTGGGAAGGACTGATTTGTTTAGACCTCTGTTTTCTTGAGGTTGTCAGCTGGAAGAAACTGGATTTTCTGTGAGATGCTGTTTAGGAAGAGGGGCTTGTTAGGACAGTGTGTGAGGTTTTGCTTGGCAATTCTCTGCAGGAAGGTTATTTTATTTTTGGGTTCATATCTTTTTCGCAGAAGATTTGAATCTTGCTAACTTGACTTGATTTTAAGTTGCAGTTTTAGAGGAGCGTTGCAGCCATTATTTTTATAGACTGTTGATATCAGAACATGTTTTATTTTCTTTTTTTTAAGAGGGAAAGTGTGTTTAAAATGACAGTGCACTTTAAAAGATGAACTTTATAACCACTAAGCCTCCTACTTTCTTCAGCACAGGAAAATGGAACTGCCTTTTCTGGCAATGTGGCAAGGGCTGTGCCCTGCAAGTCATGAATGGACTAGGCAGGACCAGAACAGAATCCTTAATCTTTTTGTAGTGAGAGTCGAAACACTATTTTTGCTGTAATGTGACACCAGCGTATCTTACCGAATTTTCAGGAGTTAATCACGTTGGAACACAATCTGTTTCAGCTGAGGGGCAGGGGCTGCCTGCTTTGCACATCCTCTGCTTTCCTCTGCTTTTGCTCAAGGGTTGGTGCCGGTTGCGTCGTGCTGGTCGCTGTGAGAGCGGCTCCAACCGCGACCGGAGCCGTCGCACTCGTGCTTTTCCATGTGGTAAAAACTGAGCTCTTCTGGAGTAAACATTCTCATGCTGCTTTTTAGTGAACCCTCTTCCTTTTACTTTCCCGTCCTGCCTCTGTGCCGTGTTCCATGAAAGAGCTGAACTTTGGCCGGAACGTCGCGCCACGATCGCTGCCAGTCTCCCGCTTAAAGGGGGATGGAAAAAAAAAAGGGTTGAGTTGGGATAATCAAAGTGCTCAGCAGTTCAAATTTTTAATTCGAGTCTGTGGGATTAGAAGGTGCTCAACCAGTATTGCAGGATCACATACCTTTATGGCTTAATGACCACACGTTCCATATCACTGACTTTCACCCGGGTAAAACTTTTTTGGGTAAGTGACTTCCTCAACAAACCTAAAGTGGGGAATTAACAGTAACCTGTGTCCGGGTGCTTTTCACTGTCCCTTGGTATTCCTCTGAAAAGGTGATTTTTTTTTGTTTGTTTGAATCTTCACCCTGTGAGTAGTAAACTGCTGTGAAGATCAGAATGAATCCCAGCTACTGTTTTGAGATGTGAAAATGAAACTGCTCTTTGAGGTACTGCCTTCTCATGGAGACACTTGTCACCAAAACAGACACTGTTGTGGTCACCTCTGTAGGGACAAGGGCTTGGGGAAGGTAATTGCCCATAAAACACTGCTACTACTTGTAAGTTATTTGATTCTTTTTTTTTTTAAGATAAAAAACAGTTTTCAGAAGTGCCAAGCAATCATCCTGTATACTTTTCCCTCTTTTTTTTTTCTCATTAGCCTCTCTTTCTGTCCTGCGTGAGGGAGAGGAAAATATCCAGGATGATGGTGCTTTTTCACTCAAAAGCTTATTTTTGCCTTGTTGTCTCACTGTTCAAAGGTGGCTTAATGATTCTTGTCTGTCTGTTTCTTTATCTTTTTGCCCGTATTTTCTTTTTGCTGTGGAGTGAAATGTGTTGTAGCTTCTACATGTGTAGAACAAAACTGAACTGAGTTGTGGGCTACTCCTGCAATCTTTCTTTACTTTTGTAATCTTGCATCTTAAGCCAGGCCCTTGTCTGTGTTCAGTCTCTTGTCTCTCTTCCAGATTAAGCTCCCCAGGAACTCACTTGCACTGGTTCCAGTGGCATCACTGCTTATTTTCAGTCATGCACTTAAAGCACTCATCATGGCAAGCTGATAAAGGCATCAGCACTGTTTTTTCTAGTTTTGAGTTTGTTTTTTTTCCAGTATGGCTTTATGTCAGGATGGTTTCTGCTCCTTCCAGCATGATATATAATCACTTCCACCAATTTATTGGCACTTATTACACAGGGGTTAAATAGTCTATTTTACCTTTTTACTGAAAATAAAAAGTTATTTTTTTCCCACTTTTCTGAATACTTGAAGTAGTTTTGCCTTTCCAAAAAAGGAAGTGTACAGTTCTTAACTGGTTTAATTATTTTTTTTTTGCCTCCTAAGGTTGTTTGGGTTTGGTTTTTTGTTTGCTTTTGGTTGTTTGGTTTTTTTGCCATTACATTCCACTACAGTCTACCAAAGCAGCACGAATCAGTGTGGGATTATCATAAACATCACAACTGTCTCCATTATGCTTTCTTTGCATCTGGGCAATGTGAAGAAGGCATTCTGAAGGGAATAGTCTATCTTGTTCTTGTTTCACATTGGTGTAATTGCCTGAAAGTGTAACTAGAATTTAATACAAAATTGTGCCACCTAATGTCACTTGAACTGGAAGATGTAAATGACCACATTATGCAATAACTGTGTAAAATCATGAAAATGAATGTACATAATAAGGTAAAACTTGAGGTTTGCGTTATTAAAAAAACTTTTTCTCAAACTGTGGAAATAATCGGGGTGTTGCAATGGTTCTTGTGGTTTGGGTTTTTTTGCCTTTCCCTTGGTGCTCATTTCTGCAGTGCTCAACATCTCTGCTCCCATTACCTTTGCTGGTTAAAGGCTGGGCCCAAGGAGGAGGTTACACGCCCGTGGGACATATCTGCCTGGTTTCAAAATGCAGCACCTAAAGGATGCTGCTCTGCTATTCTCCAGCTCTAGAGGCACAGAATCATCTGTAGGCACTTGGGACGCTGAATTTTTAAGGTGAAACCTCATTGGAACCGGGCGTTGGGGGTGTTGAGCAGGTTGATTTTCACTTGTGCTTCAATCTCTACAAACCAGGTATCCCTTCATCTCCTCCTGGAGAGATCAGTGCAAAAAGCATCCTGCTAGCATGTTGACTGGGGCAGATTTTGCCCATGATTTAGCAGAGTTCGTGGCATTCTTTTGGAACAGGTTCTGATTTAGAAGATGATGGATATTTTATGGGCAGAACAAAGTCAATCCTGGGTCAAGCTGATGTCTCTGACAGTGGTTGTTGCAGATTCTCAGGTGTGAAGCACATGAAGGCCAAAGCAAAGAGCAGATCATCTTGTGTTATTAAATCAGGACCAAATTTTTCTAGCTTCTGAAGGAGGACCTTAATCACCTAATTAAGGCTAATTTGAGATTCCTCGGCTATTTTACTTTTCCTTCTTGATTTACTGTGAATTTTTGTTGCTTTAAGATTTAGGAGTGGAGGGAGAGGATGGATGCAATTGAAATGTTCCTGATTCTTTTAGTAAAAACACAGAAATACAGTGATAAACCTCACAAGCACAATTAACTATGAAGGAACATAAACTGGTTGAGCTGCAAACAGGCAGCTGGAATAGCTTAGAAACTGTGTAAGAATTACAGACAAAGGAAGAAACACTGTCTTGAGTTTATATGAATGGAGCATGTGACATGTGCTTTCATGGCCTCTTTTGGGGTTATGTTTACATCTACTGACACATTTTGGGGAACATTGCTTTTTATCCCTCCAGCACTTCCTAATGTGCACAAAAAAAAAAATAGGGGCATACAAAACTATAAGATAAAATAGGTCCTGTGGGAAAGTGATGGGGGGGTATAGATTAATTAACACTGATATGTGAAGTAAATGTGTCTCTTACCCTGGTAGATGGTTTATCTTTTCACCTGCCTGTATATTAAGAGTAGTACATAGTGTTACCACAGCTTTTGGTACAATTTAACATTGTACTTTAGTCAGGTGAAGTAATTCCAGAGCTCTGTCTTGGGTTTTTATTGAAAGCAAAATAAAAATAGGTGTTTGCCTGCCTTTTTTTTTTTTATGTAGGTGTTAATGATTTTTTTTCTTTCACTAGATTTTTTTTTGTCTGATTAAAAGCCTATACAGCTGTTGGGAGTTTTCCACAAATCAAATGGGTTTGACTTAATCTGCAGTCTTTAGAAACATTCAGAGCCATTTGTTATGTGAGCTCTGGGTAGAGATAATTTGGGGCTGGGGAGTGGAAGGCTAAGATCGGGTTTGTAGTCCCTCTCTAAGCAATATATATGACACTGTTCCAAAATGACCTTTATAAACCAGAGGAAATTACCAAAATTGTAAAGAAAAATTTAAGAGATAAATATGCACTGTTACGATTTCAAAGTACGTGTCAGGGAATAAGTGGTATTAGAAGACAAATATTATAGGGCTGATATTCAATATAAATTGAGTGAGCCAACAGCATCTCAAAGAGATCAAAAGATTTTGTAATCAAAAGATTACAGCTTTGCTGTAATTTGTAATAGTCCTTCTCTTTGGGGCCCTGTATTTTGGGCCCTGAATTTTAAAATCAGCAAGTGGGGGGAGGTGTCCTTTTTAAGAAACTGCAAAGGTGTGAGTTGAGAAGAACTTTAGAGGAAATAATTACAGACAAACAAGAGACAGGCAAATAGGTTTTCTAAACAGTATCCAAATGTGTAAATGGGTGAGAGGAGTGAAGTGTAGGTGGTGTGTAATCCCTGTGTGCTGGTTCTCCGAGAAGCTGCAGTTTGGATTTCAGCAAAAAGAGTTGCTGCAGGCGAGGGAAGCTGCCTGACTCCAAGCACTGTGTCTGGGGATGCAGACTCCACTTCAGTGCTCCTTTAGGAGGGGTTTGTTTGCCAGTCACCTGCTGCAGCTCTGTGGGGATGTTTGTGAACCTGCCCTTGCCTGGTGATGCCTCAGCTGCTCCCTGAGGTCCTGTCCCGCCCACCTCTCCGTGCTTTCACCGGAAAGGATTCCCATGGCTGGAACAAACCTAGCTTTTGTTGTTACACCATGTGCTGCTGGATCTAGCTAATGGCTTACAAATGTTTACAGCATTACAAGGACGGTTCTAATAGGGGTAGCAAAAAAAAAATGCTCCTTCAGCTTCCTGTTCCAGACAGGAAGATGAGCCTGGACTGTGTGTGCTCTGTTGCTCATACTTGACCTTGCACTGTCTCCCCATAATTCTCCGTGCAGTTCTCTCTACTGGGTTCTCTTTAATCTCATTTCTACCTCCCTCACCTTTTTGGGAAAAAAGAGGGAATGTCTTGCCCTTCTCCCAGGCTGTATTTGCTCACTGACAAGCCAAGCAGGTCGGATAACTTGATCTTTCCCTTGATGAGAAGACTTAATTTGGACACTCTTCTCTGCTTGCTACCAGATGTCACAATATGTGTGACACTCACATCTTTTAACACTTCAGCTCTTCTTTCCAACGTGGTTTGGTGAATGAATTAAAAAGCTTTGTTACCAGGGGACTGCTGCTGCATAAATCCTAGAAGCAACAAGAAAACTTACAAAAGGTAATGATGTATTGCTGGAAATTTTGTTAGTTGAATCTGAAGCTTCCCTGGATCTGTGGCAGTGTAGAATGCGAAGCCTTTCAGTGAGAATGGAACACTTAATCTCCAATGGGGAGAAATGGAGATGGTCCAGAGATTTAATCATGTTCATCATCTTTATTAGGGGGTTTGTAGAAGTGTAGGCTAACATGTTTCAGAACTGGGAGCTGGGCTTTCTTGCATCCTCCAGACATACCATCCCTTTTTTTTTTTTTCTAGATGGATCACAGAGTATCCAAATGAAGAAATTAAGGTCATGGGAAATCTGTTACTAGTTCAGGAATAAACACCAGATCATCAGACTTCCCTAATCATAAACTTCATATTTCATTCTGGGCTGAGGACTTTTTCTGTAGAGCTACAGTTTTCCCAGCATAAAGTGAAAGAAAAACGTTCAGGGGAAAAAGCCCTCAAGGCTGAGCTGGCATTCTTCAAATACTAAGTACACAGTGATATGTACAGCAAAGCACTGGAGCTGCCACCTGACATTATCTCCCACAAAGAGTATGAGCAGAACTTCAAGACTCTGTAAAATGGACTCACAACATAAATGCTTATAAAAAGTGTCTTTGTTAACTAAAATTGTTGCAGTTCTGGAGGGAAAACCATGGTATGCAGTTACCTCCATCATGTGTGCACTCGTTTGCTAAAGGAAGTCAAATGATGTTTTGTCATGAATTATCCATGTTACCCACAATAAGGGGAAACCTAAACATTGTCTTTGACTTAGAATTCCAGCCACTTATGTAGTTTATTTGCGTTGGTTTTCATATCTGGTCCTATACTTGAATTTTTTCCACAGTAATTACATTAAAAAAAATGGTTTATTGATGCTGAATTTTTTAACTGTAAGCCAGAGACAATTCCAGCTTGTCCTTTCCTTTAATGCTAAAAGTTCCTTATAACAGTCTCAGTCATCTTTTTTCCATTAACTGGTTGAGCAGGTGTTGTCTTTGTTCTGCACAGATACTTTCCATGGCCCCCATCATTGCATTGTTTGAGTGCCTCCCAAGTACTCTTCTGAAAACATCCTGCTGGGATAGGAAAATATTGCTATCCTTATTTTGTAGATGATCAGCTGAGATATTTGGTGATCTGCCCACAGCCGAGCTCGAAATCCGTGGGAGAGTTCAGAATAAAGCCTGCAGTCCCTGCTCACTGCCTTTGCTCACAGACAATGCTGCCTTCTTTTTTTGCACCAGCTGCGAACCTCAGTTGCATGTTTAGAAGATGATGTTGACGTTTCCACATCAGCTGGTTTATAATTTTGTTGCTACCCGTTCTTGGATGCAACTTTTTCATTTACTTCGTTTTAAAATTGAAAAAAAAAAAAAAAATCCTGGAACCTCTAAACTTCTTTACTTCCCACCTTATCAAAAGGGGAGAGAGGGCTATTACTGGTTTGCCATCTGATTTAGAAATATTTAATAGGGATGATCTGAGGCTGGCACATGTGCTAGAGGTTTAGTGAGTGTAAGTAAATGGATAGATTCTAGTAATGAAATTACTAACTTAGCTGTACAAAAATATTGGAAAAACACAGGATGACCATTCTGAACAACAGTTATTTGGCAGCTCCAGCTTGCTTTCAGGCCTGAAACACACTTCAGCAATGCTTTTAGCATTGTCTTTATTTGTACTTCTTGTATTCTGTTCTTTGAGGTGAGTGAACAGTCTGACATTTCAGAGCTGGTGGGCTCTCAAACATCACTTTGGATTTGGAAAACTGACCGGGAGGCCAATTGCCCTGCAGGATTTCACTGGATCATCAGCGTTTGAGAGGCTGGAAATTCACATCAAAATAGAAAACTGAGTGCATTTTTAAGACCAAGTTCTGTTGTACAGTAGGTGTGTATATGTGTGATGTGAAATATGATCTCTGACACAACTACAGGTTGCTGGGCTGGATGCAGAAATTACTGAGTTCAGTTGTAAGGATTGTGTCACTTGAGGTAAGACCAGAAGGGATTTCGACTTTTATGCTTAAAATTAGGGTTATTGTGTAGGATTCTGGCTAAAATCAGACTGGTTTTCATTAGCTTCTGGAAAGGAATTGCTGGTTTGTGTGTGCTACAGAACTGTAACACTCTAGCACTGAACTGGGGAGTGGTGGTATAACAATGACCTTGTACCACGAGCATCCTACTGAGG